CTGTAATTGCAGATCGTCCTTTATAATTTAGATAATTAAGTGAGTTAAAGCTAAGATATTTACAAAAGTTACTAGCTTTAGGATAAACTTTCGTTTGTAACAGTTACCTCATCATTAAGATTTTAAGAAAAAATATACTAGAATTATTTTCTCGTTCAGTAGTTAATGCAGTATTTTGAGAGAAGAGACAGTTGAGAAGCTCGATTACTTTATTGTCATCACCACGGTGGCAGAAGGCGAAAATAAATGAGGTACTACAGAAGCAGATTTTCAGAACGAGAAAGAAATTGAATACGATGGCAAAGTAATAAGTATGTAGATATGTTCAGCTATAGGGTCTTTATCTGTCGCTTTCTTCTTTACAGATTGTTTATAGGATTCCACTTTATAACATGGATTTTCGTGATTCTCGCTCTGAGTTTTCTTGAGAATTCTGCTGAGTTTTTTTGCTGTCTTCTTTATACATTTCATATGTTCCCGTGTACCTTATTTTCAGCTCCCGTGAGTTTTGCCGTGTAGTTATCACGTTGAGGCGATAAACTACTACAGGATGCTTGTTGCTGTAGGAACCCTTCCATTTTTACCGAAGACGCTGGTTTGTGCGATGAGCGCTTTCGACAAATATTTAATTGCCACATAAGATCGTTTTTTGGACAATTACAACATTTGGCTGGCAATGATCGACAAGTTTGATGAGATAATTAATTTCCATCAGCTGGAAATGTCAAAGGAACTGCGGTCATCATACATTGCCAGTTCTGTTTCGCTTAAATGCAGTGCGACGCTACTTCTAGAATTATTCGTAGCTTCGATTTGTTGAAGCTTCCTCGAATACTCCGCCGTTCCTAATGTTAAGATTGTAATAGTTTTCTGTAGAGAGGCATCCAATCACGAATGATCAATGTTACTGTTCTTAATGGCTCTTCTGTGTTCAGCAACTTTAGTTTTTAACGAACTACGATTGGTCATACCAATGTAAATGTGATGCCAGATAATACATGCGAGTTGATATATTTCATGTTCATGTTGGGATGAGGGTCAAAATTCTTATGCAACAGGTTTACTGGATTTTAACTATACAGAGAACTCATTTACACAGTTGTTCTCTATGCCGTCGCATTTCTTTGGAAATGCGGTGCGAAGGCTAAATGTTAACTTTTCTCTGTCGATAAGGAAAAGGCTACCATTACGGTAAATCAACGCACCTACTCATGATTATGATCATAAGTGACGGTTATTGATCGAAGTGATGGCTATTGAAAAGAAGGGCGCTAGCAGCGACCTCATCATGAAAATGTTGAGGATGACCGATATTTTAACGGTTGAAGTCTTCCTATTTTCTTAGGACCAGATGGCTCGAGAATTTTTGAACAAACACTGGTGCGCCATGAAATCTGACTCGTCATACTTGCGCATGCAGACAGCTGTGGTGGTCATTACAAAATATTCTGTAACCGGTAATCCCCTAACTAAGCTGGATGGATGTCTGCGTTCATGGTTCTTAAGACATAACGAGCTGAACATACTAACATACTAACTAGGAACAGGCATGCTAAAGTTCCGCACTTTTGAGCCTCGCCTGAGATGTTATAATAAGTTTTAAACAGCAGATATTGTCTCATTGATATGTATGGAAATTAGGTTAAAAATGGGATTAATATAGGAGTTTCGTATATATGCTAATGAAAATGAATACAGTTGTTTCAGCTTGTATGATATATGTAGGATGCTAGGTTTGTCTTAGCCAGTGGTGCTGACTTCTTGGTATAGATCGTAGTACGCTATACTGAATAATACTAATACTGTCGGTACTTTAAACTGGACGATGTCTTCGTTGGCACTGATGCCCTGGTGATGGACAACAATTATGCTGCTCCAAAAGTTATCTTTAGTACATTCCATAAATGAATATAAGTCTTTTCGTATTTATTTGCTTTTCATTTCAGACCACGGAAGTTATTTTATTCAACTTATGCTAAGCGTGATCATCGTTTAGATATGGAATTATACTGAATCACTGGTATTATGACTACATTGCGGAAGGTGAGTTCATTTCTGTGATTTATGAGTAATATCTAAGGTTCATGCCGATACCGTATGGTGGATATACATATTTGCGGCGGTTCATACTTATTTACTGGAATAACAACAAAAGGCATAATTATGCATTGCGCAAAACAGTCAGTTTCTAAGACGACAGATTACTACGTATCACGAAAATTCGGAACGTTGAAAATGTTTTCTCACCTGATTACACTATTTTTGTGCCGAAATTTGCCTTTTTATTTTTTGCCAATACTTGCATAAAAATCTGATGTGGATGAATCGCCAAGACGAAGAGCTGTCAAAATTATGACAGATTTTCCTCATATAATGTTTCGAAGACTGACAGCATAGAAAACAAAGATACCGTAACAGACATCTAAGAAAATCTGAAAGCAGTCAGATATTACAACGCTAATAGTTATTGATGATACCTGCAAATAAGACCGTTAATTGCGTCTCTCAAGTCAGGCCTTGTTATAATTCGATCAGTTATTTGTATTCTCTGGTACCTGTTCCATGATCATTTTTTGTGTTTGCGTTTTGTGTTAGATGGGTGAGGGCAGAAGAACGCAAGTGATGCTGTTGGACGAACGTCGGTTAGACATAGTCGTACAGCCGAAACTGACCGTCGAAGAGTTGTTGAATATCGTGGCGTCGCACTGCCATTTGCGCGATCCGGACAAACACTACTTCGGCTTGACATTCCTGGACGACAGGTAGCGAAGTGCTGTTATGCGTTGTTATACCGCAGCGGTACGATTACCACGTTTGGTTTAGGCAGCAGTATCATTGGCTGTACCGACAGCGATGCGTCTTAGACCATGATTTCCCGAAGAAGATGTACCTTTCCGGAGTCAGCATTATTCTGTATCATATGATTAAGTAGGATTACTTTTACTTCGAATGTTTTGCTGATGCTGCATGATTTTTTTCAGGTTCTATGTGCATTCCGTTTCGCAGCTCGCCTACTCGCCGACCGTTGAGCTCTATTTCTTGCAAGTGCAGCAACACATTTCACGGGTACGCGAAGTAACGCTGGTCTGTATCTGATACTGATAGAGGGGGGGGGCAGTGGCGTAAGGGATAAGTAGTTCGCCTGGCACGTTCGAGGTGCCTCATTCATTTCCATTGTGGTGTAGTCTTTTTGTTACCTGCGAATGTTTCTCTATGTTGCGGGGCAAGCAGCGACGAAGAAACGAGTAACACATCGTTGACCCCGGAACAGTTGGCATGGTGTAGTGCTCTGGCGTTCTCCTTACGGTTGTAACTTGTTTTAATTCACGTGATCAGTGACTTAGATGAGCACAAGGCTTAAATCGTAATCTTAAATTAAAAAATGAATTTGGTACTTGAATTAAGACTAAATAATACTCCTTGCCATTTACCTAGGAGCATTGTGGACGTCAAGAAACAACCCTTATCGCTTAGTAGCGTTGTTTGCTTATTTAGAAATATCTTTTATTTTACAGAGAGAGCTTCAAGTGAAGCCGTTATAAGCTAGAAGCGAAACAAAGTAAGGTTTGGATATGCTGATTTAAATAAAGGAAAATAGCCGACGTCTATGACTGGGCTTTTCGACAGTAGCATATAGCCTGAAGGACCATGCAAACGTGTGTGTCGAAGACGCGCTGAGTTTCAACGTCCTATTCCGAAAATATCAAGGTAAAAAGCGAAAGCCACACGTAGATCAGACATTTAATTTTATATAGCACATCTGTTATACTTGGAGCAGTGATGTTGTCAAGAAATTCTTCGCAAACCGCGGCTGTACATATCGAAGTGTGTTGAATTACAAAGATTCATAAGAATCGCTGGCCAATGATAGTACCCAGAAACAACCGGTAACGTGACACGTCATCTACAGTAACCACCGTGAGATAAATAGACCAGTGAAACTTATTAAGACGAACAAATCGTTTATGATATACTTCGTCTTCACGGACTTGATGAACTCTTGCATAACATGTGAATGAAAAGAAATTCTGTGATATCTGAGACAAGGGGCTCATCATCCTAGTCCGTAAGGATAACACCTTCTGTTGATGCTAGATTCACTGCTTGACTAGAAATTTCACGACTCAAAAGTTCATTTGGATTCTGTATCGCGCACTTTATACCGTTGCTGGTCTTCTGACTCAATGGTTTTCTTCGCAAAATGTTTACAGATTAAGATTGATTCAAAATGACCACCAAGTAGTTGGACGGTTATTGACTGACAGGAATAATTGGATAATGCGTGACTAATTTGCATGAATTGAACTGTCACACTGTTGTGCTGTATGTATTGAGAAGGGTCTTTTCGATGATCATGTTGGAACGGCTACTGCAGCAGATGAAAGAACGAAAGAAAATCTGAGTGAAAATTCTTGTACCAACCACATTTTCTCATTCCATTCAGCAGCACCGACTGTGCCAGTTTCTCCATTGTGCTTTCTTCATCGATTTGCACGCCGTTTTATTCATTTCAGTGCTCAGCAGTCAAGAATCCTACGCAGCTTCGAAATTCT